TTATTATTAGATGATGCGTACCTCTCTCTCTCTCTCTCTCTCTCTCTCTCTCTCTATATATATATATTTAATTGGCCTCGAGTTTTCAAAAAATATTTGACCCAAAAATTAGAAATCGATTAAATAGCTTGGATCGATGAACATATGTTTCTAAATAAAAATCCAAATATTTATCAAATTAGCCTTTTAGCAGACTGATGCGTACTTACATATATATATATATATATATGTATATATATGTATATATATGTATGTATGTATGTATACAAGAATATTAATTAATCTACAACCATGCATGATTCTTATAATAGATTAACCATCAAATAATTGGGAGACATAGCATATATTCATAAATAATATTGCCGTTAATATAAAAATACATATTAAATGTACTTATAACGGTATTTTATAGTTTGAAAAAAGAAAATTATGACAAATTTCTTTTTAATTTTCAAGTTGTTAAAAAAATAGGTAGATGGGTAAAAATAATAATAAACGGGTACGCGGTTATGGGTAAATGGGTATGGTTAACCGTTTATAAACAGTTATAGGTATGGGTATACCCGTTTATGTAAATACCCAACGGTAAACGATTATATGGGTATAAGCTTAAACGGTTATGAGTAAATAACCACGGTTACCCACCCACCATAACCGTTGCCCATCCATACATTAGACTCATATCAAAACATGCGGATCAGGATCCTCTCCTGAGCAAAGGGTGAGGATCCTCCTGACCAAACTCATCGGGTCGTTGAAATTTTATCCAAAGGCTACAAACATGATGCCCCTCTAAAAGTTATAATAATTGTAGCAGTTGGATAAAATTTCAACGGCCCAATAGACTTGGTCAGGAGGATCTTCACTAGGGATGAACAAATACTCATTGGTTATGGGTAACCGTGGTTATCCGCCCATTTAAATTTGATAGTTATGGTTATGGGTAACCGTTTAGATAAATAAATGATTATAGGTATAACCATTTACCCGTGAAATTTAAATGAGCGGTTATGGGTATTACCTGCGGTTATAAATGGGTACCCATTTAACCGTTTATTTTAATATTTGTGAAACTAAAATAAATAAATAAAAATTAGTTTCTAACTAGGTTTAGTATCCCGAGATGTATTTGGTTATAAAGGGCCATATAATATATATATATATATATATATATATATATATATATATACCTCACTTGAGAGAAAAATATAGTTGATAGAATGGACTAATGTTTAATACATGTGATTGAATGTGCTAAAGCATTAGTGTTCCACAGTTTTGTTTTGGAGTTTTTTGAAGCTTTGACCAATTCAAGATAATGATTACTTTGAGCATTTAGAAACATGTTATTATTAGATGATGCGTACATATATATATTTAATTGGCCTCAAGTTTTCAATAAATATTTGACCCCAAAATAGAAATCGATTAAATGGCTTGGATCGATGAACATATGTTTCTAAATAAAAATCCAAATATTTATCAAATTAGCCTTTTAGCAGACTGATGCGTACTTACATATATATATATATGTACAATAATATTAATTAATCTACAACCATGCATGATTCTTGTAATAGATTGACCATCAAATAATTGGGAGACATCACATATATATGCATAAATAATATTGCCTTTAATATAAAAATACATGCTAAATGTACTTATAACGGTATTTAATAGTTAGAAAAAAATGAAAATTATGACAAATTTCTTTTTAATTTTCAAGTTGTTAAAAAAAATAGGTAGACAGGTAAAAAAAAAAAGGTAAACGGGTACGCGATTATGGGTAAATGGGTATGCAGTTACGGGTATGGTTAACCGTTTATAAACGGTTATGGTATGAGTATATCCGTTTATATAAATACCCAACGGGTAAACGGTTATGTGGGTAAAAACTTAAACGGTTATGGGTAAATAACCGCGGTTGCCTGCCCACCATAACCGTTGTCCATCCCTATCCGTGAGTTTAAGAAAGTGAGCCACATTCAATCTCGAGAGGGAAAAGCCGGCAGAAGTAGAGGAGGAAGAAGTGTCTGTAGCCATGGAGGACGGCGAAAACAGACAAGGAAAAATTAGGGTTAGGGAGAGCCGAGAACAAAAAGGAGGAAAGACCTAAATGATTGATACCATGTCGAAAGTTTAAACTTCATGATTTATTGATATGCGAAGAGTACAATATACATATGCATAATATTCCTTCACTAACAATATAATGGTAGATATCTATCTGAAACACATTAATGCTTGACCATGTCAAAGCCGGCCGTCCCCGGTTCTATAGAGCTAGTACTGCCAATTCACAAGCCATTAAATCCACAGGCCGGCCAACCCCTTCTGATGTACGTCATTGGTTCCTTTCCCTCTGTACTAATCCGCATGTCGTTTTTATGCAAGTAAATATTAAGGAAAAAAAAACCAGAGATCCTTCATTAGTCCTCATATGGTTCTCAACTCATGAACATTCATTGCTACAACCTTTGACTTCAGCTTTCAGAATAATTTCTTCGATTCTTTGCATTTTGCAGGATTTTACGAGCATTACTGCATAAAAAGATCACCATGTTTCTTATAAGCTGCAGGCAGGTGACATTTTATAACATTTGCTTTGTCTGTCTCTTCATTTTCGTCAATTTTCTGCCAATTTTCGCTCGTCGAACTAATTTCAAACCTCCTCTTTCGTTCGCTATACCTCAATTCAACTTCAATACTGAAAACATACTCTATGAAGGTGATGCCACACCTTCATCAGGAATGGTGGAACTCAACACAATCTCTCAACTGTTCCGCGTAGGGCGGTGTACTTATTCACAACCTTTGCACTTATGGGAGTCTGCTAGCGGGTCGGTAGCAGACTTCACTACTCATTTCACTTTCATGATTGATACTCACAACAACAGCAGGTGGAGTGACGGCTTTGCCTTTTTCCTTGCTCCTGTTGGCTTTCAAATTCCACCTAATTCTGCTGGTGGTAATCTAGGGTTGTTCAACAGCAGCACAAATTTGTTGGCATCGAACAACCAAATTGTAACGGTTGAGTTTGATTCCTTCCCGAACGAGTGGGATCCCACCGGGCCTCATGTCGGGATCAATGTGAATAAGATCTCCTCAATTGTGAGTACCAGTTGGGATTTTAGCAGCAACGGAAGGAAGGTGGCTAATGCATGGATAACTTACAATGCGACCACAAACAACCTCAGTGTGTTTTGGACATACAAGGAGAGCACTAGTCCCGCTTTTATCGACAGTACTTTTTCTCTTTCACACCCTATTGACTTACGAGAGGTTCTCCCTGAATGGGTTACAATTGGTTTTTCAGCCGCTACAGGACGAGCCCCCGAGCAACATGTCATAAGTTCATGGGAATTCAATTCGCATCTGGATTCTGATAAGATCAGTAAGAAAACCAAGGATATGAAGATGAAGAAATTGTTAATAGCAGCAGCTGCTGGTATTACTTTGTTAGTTTTGATGCTTGGTGTGGGTTTGTATTGGTTTGTTGTAAAGAAGCGAATGCGCAGGATTGACGGGCTTGAGAGTTGTTCCAAGGATGTGATCACCTCCATAAATAAGGATCTCGAGAAACGTGCTTTCCCTAGGCGATTTGCTTATAAGGAATTGGTTGCAGCCACAAATGGCTTTGCCAGCGATGGAAGGCTAGGCCAAGGAGGGTCAGGACATGTTTACAAAGGTATGTTGCAAGATCTAGGCTGCGCTATTGCCGTCAAGAGAATCTTTGCAAAATCTGATTACTATGAGAAGATATTCATCAACGAAGTCAAGATTATAAGCCGGTTAATACACAGGAACCTGGTGCAGTTCATTGGATGGTGTCACGAAGAAGGCGAATGCTTACTTGTTTATGCATACATGCCTAACGGCAGTCTCGACACGCATCTGTTTGGATCTAAAACAACCCTGCAATGGGATTCTCGGTATAAGATAGCTTTAGGCTTGGCCTCGGCGCTTCATTATCTACATGAAGATGCAGAGCAATGCGTTCTTCATAGGGATATCAAATCGGCCAATGTATTGTTGAACAAAGACTTCGGAACTAAGCTTGGGGATTTTGGGATTGCTAAGCTTGTCGATCCATGTTCCCAGACTCAGACACTCGGGGCTATAGGGACTTTTGGCTACATTGCCCCGGAATATGCAAATGGAGGGAAGGCCAGTAGGGAATCTGACATGTTTAGTTTCGGAGTTGTGGCGTTGGAAATTGCTTGTGGAAGGATGACTTACCAGGACGGGGAACTTCACGTGCCACTTGTCAGTTGGGTTTGGCAACTCTACCTTGCAGGAAATGTTCTCTTTGCAGCCGATGAGAGATTGGATAAAAAATTTGATACAAGTGAAATGGAATGCTTGTTGGTCATCGGATTATGGTGCACTCATCCCAACAGCAAGAGTAGGCCAAAAGCCGGACAAGTGATGAAGGTTCTTCAGCTCGAAGCGCCATTGCCGGAACTTCCACACGACATGCACGAGTATGATCATCATCTGCCTCATGATCATGTATGATTACAGCACGATTGAAAATAGTTTTTCTTCTTCTTTCAACTTTTTCAATGTATAACCACAAAATGTTGTATTTTCAAGCTACTTGGTTCATGGTTGTATGATTTCAAATCCAATAATGTCAGAATTATTACCATCTTCGTTTTCGGATGCTAGTATTTTTTGGTATCCTTTATGCATTTGCTCTAACATTGGATCCGTGAGAAAGCACGTCAATACATCCGCAATCCTGCAGCACAATGCAGCAGATCCTTGGTCATGGTCGGCTGACTTTTTGGATACATATCATTGTTCCTTCCCAGCTCAATTTTACGCTGTATGTAATGCAGCAACTTTCTACTAGTGCTTAGATCCCTCTTTTGCATTTTTTTAAGAGAACTCCCCCTCTTTTGCACATAATACAAAATGTGGTTAAATGACGAGTGCTTATATGCTAACAACTAACAGATCATATTAACATTTACAAAGTGAACAAGCACTAATTAGTGGGACTCCAAAAAATAAATATTAGTTCCAAATATCAGTTCAGTTATGTACATGACTGACCCTGCAGTCAAAAGAATGTTGAGCAAGAAAATCTTGTAAAAAAACCCAACATGAACAAATTTTTCAAATTGGTCCCATCAGTTTTCCCAAAATCCACTCACAAAATACCCAGTAACATATCACTACCAGTAGATATGGAGTTTGTATTTATGTATCTCTGCTTCAAACCATGGTCATCTTTAGAAATCTGCAATTTGATGATGCCTTTCAGCGACCATCCAACACGTGATCGTGTGCTCTCCTTAGGTCGAAGGGATCTGATGACGAGGTTGCTTCGGCAGACGGAGTCTCCTCACTGGGTTCACAACTGCATACCCTGCCTCGATTGTATATTGGAACATTTCTATTACCATCAACCAGCCATCCTCTGAAATGCCTCCTTCTGTGTGGAAACCAGCAAGTGACGCAAATCTATGTTTGCTTTATAGTAAAGCGTCTTGTGCACATAGAACATCATATAACACTGTGAAGCTCTTACAAACCCCTCGTCAACCTCATTAATCCAAGCATTGTCACATTTGTACCATTGGTCTTGTATGCGTAAATACGTCACATAATGGCCGGAATCTAGTGTCCCAGAATGAGTAATTACTGCAAAAATCTCAAACTCAGCAGACATCCCAGACTCATCCCCCTCGAAAGCAAAGATTCTATTTCCAAACCTGTTCCTCACAATCGAAGAAGACAGATAGGGAGTCATGTCTAGCGAGAATGGAAAATGCAAATAGCTGTCGATTTTCCTCATCATCTTTCTGACCAGGGAGTGCTCAAACCGTTTTATATGCAAACACAACACCATTGGAAGCTTTCTGATGGACATTTGCTTCGAAGAGTCTCGGAGTTCTTGACAGTTCTGACAGTACAGTTTCTGGTCTGACCCCAACTTTTCTGGTTTTGTAAACAAGTCTAAACAACCCAAAAGAGTGGATGAACTGCTGCTGCCATTCGCTTTGGCAGGCTTGTTAGATGCATCTGACCAAGAACAGTGGCTTGTGTCTAAGTTGAGTGATATGTCCAAACACGGGTCATAAGTTGTCGAGGTGAATCCACAAGTCATACAAGTGACATCCGACCTCAACAGTCCTGAGAATACCCTATGCGCAATACACTGGCAGTCTCCACTATCTGTGAAACAAAGGATAACTTAGTAAGGAAAAGCGAACTCTTGACCACCATAAAAACAAACGATTTCACATGTACGATCTAAAACTCATCTGATTGCCTATGATTACCTTTTGTATGGTTTCTTGCTTTGGTTTCTTTCTCATGGATCCCATCCAACACGGAAATGAAGAACTCATGAGCATCCTGCTGCTCGTAACTTGCCAGATTCTCCGAATGTTGCCACCAACTTGAAGTAGAGAAAATTTTAATCAGTCCAAAAGCAATTATACTTCAGCATAGAAGAACTAACAACGAATCTAGCGACAAATCACATATATAGGGAATTGATCCCACAAAGCAAAAATGGTGCTATCATTTGCAGCGAATCCATGTGATTTCTAATTAGACATAAAAATTATGCATTTTGCAGGAAAGCGATTTCACTGCTAAATACCACTATGATACTTCTTGAACTTTGCAACAGATTGCAGACACAAAGACTCGAATATATATCAATCCACAAACCAAAAATTAAGCATTATAAACTCGGCACGATACTCTGTAACAAAAGATCACACACACAGAGCAATGGCAGACCTGTAAAGCAATCCAGCCGGGCTGTAAGGAGTCTGATCGCCCGAATACACAGCCGAATAAACACCGCGAAGCTCACAAGGCAAACAAAGCAGGTTTGCCATCCTTTTCCGGCACGTTCTCCTGCTATGCCGATCACTCAAGAAGTAATTCCTCAAAGGAGGCGCATGTAGCAGTGCTTGCAACACAGAGTTCATAAAGCAAGTATTCCCCAAATTATTCAACCCCCTCAAACCCAACGGATAACACGATTTCGCTCTGTGATCCCTCACCAAACACGATTTTTCCGGCTTTTTAAACTCTGATAATTCGACACCCGAACCCCCCAGCCTCTTCCTCTCACACAGTCTCTCCCCTATACTATCCGCATTGTTTGTGCTGCAAGGCAAGTCCAGCATGCGCTTAGCCATGACAGACTTATCGAAATCGGGATCGTAGACCTGATCGGTGCACGCACAGCAAAAAAGCTCGGCCCTTTCGACATCGACGGCTAACTCGTGGCCGATTTCCAGCTGGGTATGCATAACTGCGTGATTCAAACACGAAACCGAAGAGCAAATCAAGCAAATATAGAGTCTACCTTCGAACCCATTACAGAAACTGCATCTGGGTATCTTTGTTTCGTGAATCCGAACGCTTGTTCTTCCGTTCGGGGCGGATTTGAGGGATTTCTGGAGGGATTTGTAGCCGTTGCAGCCATGTTTGAGCTTGTAAGCTGAGAGGTGGTTGCAGGGTTTTGGGTTTGTGTATGAAAGCTTCCTCGTCGACATGTTTTGATGGAGATTTTGGGAAAGGGAAGGTTGGATTTGTTAGAAATCGCAGAAAGATTAAAACTTTACTAAAAAAAAAAATTGGTAAAATTAATAGATTAATAAACCCAATAGTAATAAGATTTGGGAAAGCAGATCCAATATTGCAGTTAAGAGATGAGAAGAAATTTGGATCAGCTGAGAGAGAGAGAGGCAGGGACTTTTCTGCAATCTGTTTGGGGATGACTTGAAGGAAGAGGGAGGATGAAGAAGGTGCTTTTTGGGCATAAAATTATGATTTTGTCGACCGACTCATCATGCAGTATACTGTATAATATGAATTCTACTCAGAATATTGAAAAGAAAAAAGGAAAGGAAAATTATTTAGAAAATAAGAAATTTTAAAAGTTCAATTTGTGTTAAATAAAATATAGGATTAAATTTAAGAATGCTCTTTAAGCTTTGGATAGTGTTTCACTTTGGAGAGATTTTTTACTTCACCAGGGCACAATGAAAAATTCCTTTTCACTTCGCCCTCTTACTTTTCAATTTGATTTCGAATTCTTAAAGTTATCAAGTCGTGCAAACATGACTCAACTGTTAATTTGTTACGTTTTTTTATTAATGAACTCGGTACTAAATAGCTATTCACGCAAAGTATATGTTCACAAGAAAATACTTGGAAATCTTAACAAAAAGAATGAACACTTCCACATTCAAGGCAAACATGGATAATACTTGCATTCCTTTTTGGAATGTGCTCATTTTTTGTTTCGAATAAAGTATTTTAATCGAAAAATTTTTGTAATAAGAACCGTTCAATTTCTTAATCTTCATTTGAAAATGACCTCCTACAACTGAGATCACAAAATTATTATAATCACTAATCAGGAGCATATTCAATCAAATGTACAAATAGTGAAGAGAGATCAGAGTCGTTAAAAACTTGATCAAAGTGGTCGGGTCCCGTCAAACAGCTAGGCGACAATGCTGATGCCACCATTATGGTAGGGTTTTGGGCCTTTTGGCCTTACTAGAACCGGAATTTTCGTGTTGACCTAAAACAGATAATGGGAATTTCATGATAATTTTGTAGTTATGGAAGTGGATTTTATCCTGGATTTAGTTTGATTAAACCTTTTCCTAAGTTTTCAGAAATCAAATTTCAATCAATTAACTAATCAAAATTAAATATCAACACAAGTTTTTAGCCTTATCTAGCGGGTGACGACGATGTCGAGTTGGCGATTCTTGAACAGAAAGCGGTATGCTTGCGAAGACCATTTCTGGTCTATCCGTGTTAATGAAATCCATCCCGTGAAACGCTAAGCGAGTAACTACCTTACACATGGTAAAAAATTCCTGCAAAGAAGTGGTTGCTTCTCTCAACCTTAAAAACAACCGAACCTAGACCAGCCACACATTGAATTTGATCATGACCAATTATCCCTTATTATCACAAATCAGCGACATAACAAGATATTAACAACATACCGAAATCTTATCCTCTCAAGCAACAAAGATTTGGAAAATGATTATTTCAGCCAATTCCTTTTCAGATTATATCTGTTAAGCTTAATTCTCTCTCAAGTGATGTCATGTGCCGAGAGAGATGGGCACAAGAAAATATACACCCGGTTGCCCAAGATTTTGCCGCAAAATGGGCATCTTGAGCACATTCCTCACAACACATTTAGAGTGACTGCAATCACAAGCATAAACTCTGTAAAACTACCCTCGAATGCACTAAGCACTGCAATCTGCATAGATGAACCAATTCCACACTAAGAACTTGTGTGTTGGCAGATGTTGCGTAAGATTTTCGTCCCGAAAACATAGAAGACCACTCGCAAAATAAAACTAGCCTTAATCAATCTCCATAAACAGCTAAACGAGCTGGCAGAAGTCCACTTTTGATCCATCTAAAATCTATGTATCTGATAGAAACAAAACAGAAGGCAGTGACAAGAAGTAACCAAGCATATAATACAAGTTTATACATTCAGTTTACACTTATACAATGTCTAAGCCTATCAACAGAAGTACCTTTCAACTGCTGCTGGTGAGGAACACCAAAAGAAAAGGACCTGCAGAGATGACTGAAATGGCAAGTTGAAGGACCAACACCAGTAATTGCCAATATGTGGAAGCTCTAATTGTCCACGTTTTCGACGAGTTAGCTAAATAAGTCTTCTGCTGCTGAATTCCAGCAGCAGACTTGGTAAAATTTAGAAACAAAACCATTACCCTAGAAATTGAAACCAGCATACATCAACTGAGATCAACAAACTACAATCTTGTTCATACACTATTTATATTTCATGCCTACTTACAATAACACCTATACACAGTAGTACAGCACTCATTACGAGAGAAACTCACCTACACCCGAAACACCACTGTGGTAGTATCTCAAGCCAATTTTTTATGTGTTTAACTTGCTCATATGGCAATAGCAGCACATGATTGACTTGGGACACCGCCTCAATGGAATCCGAGTGCAAGTCCAACCTCCCTCACTACCAAATACCAATACAGGAAAAACGCAGATAATCCATACAACGCTAGGGATACAATTAGTTCGGCTGAATAAAACTGCACAAATCTGCCTATTACTCAACCTATACATCCAAGAACACAACTTATTATCGATGTATCCAAATTCACACAATCATAATATTTAATTATTTATTCATATCCATGGCAGCTAAACATAAACAACAACATCCAAGTTCCAAGATCACATACACTGATAAAAACCACACATACCCAGAAGCAGATTTTCCCAAAAGCACTTATTTTGCGTCGAACGACATACTATTAACCCTTAAATTTGACCAAAGGCAGAGACTTTTTCAAGAAGCGACGCGGCCGACAACTGGGTACTTAGCTTCGAACTTCTTCTCCCAGTCAGCGAGGACGCCGATCTCCTTCTCCGTGAGGCCTTCGAGGGAGGCGGTGATGTCCTCGTCGTTCTTGCTCATCTTCGCCAGAGCTCTGCTGGCGTCCTTGCCGGCGAACATCTCGTACGGCCCTCCGGGACCGTAAAACGACTTGCCGTCCGTGACGTCGAAGACGCGGCCTTTGAGCGCCACGTATATGGGCTTCGATGGGTCGGTGCCGTTGTACTGGATCAGCTGCTGGGCCGTGAACTCCATCGTTGTGTTGGATTACTATTGGCGAGGGCGACGATGGTAAATATGGAGAATTTGGAGGTTGTTGGGTATCGGAATAGATGAATGCTCGATTTGTCGATCGTCTGTTCTTTTAAGTTCTTCGTCAACCAAAATTAAAATTATTTATTTCCAGATTTTTTTTATTAGGGAAAAAGGAAAGGTGGATATTGAAAGTTAGAACATTTTATTTGTTTTTCTGATTATATTTTTCCTTTTTATTTATTTATAAGTCAATGATTTTGGATGCAACTTTACTTCATTCAACAGGCTCTTCATGGATAATTCTCAAACTTTAGCGGTCAGAATCATCTATTTTTCAAATTATATTTCATAGATCACGCTTACAAAATATTAGCCAAATTAGGATCAAAAAAATTGATAAACATTGCATTTTTAAAAACATTTCTTCATAACAATTAAATGAGTCAATCAATTCGAATTGAATCAATTATTTATAAAAAATAATCTATGAATAAAGACTAAAAAAACAAATAGTTCAGACCATTGAAGTTCGATAGACTCTACAATTAATCCTCATTTTTATGGAAAAATAAAGGGCCTTTGGACAAAGGGTCTGCTTCAGTCAATATCAAAATGGTACTGATGGATAGACGATCAAGTTTGAATTTCTCTCTCTTTCTGTAAATTAAAATCTTTAAATTAAGTAATAATTATCACTGATTTACCAATAAAAGCATAATTTAATTAAGATTACCTCGTAAACTGCTAGCCCAAATGGAAGCGTTAAAATTATAGATGGTAGAGAATTCATTGAGTCGCTTAAAAAAGAACTACAAACTGAGTTTCTATTGCCAACAAAACTAAGTAATATCATTCAGAAGTCGGAAAAATCACATTATCCAGGCTTAGCCATGCGCCATCGGCCAGTAAGGAGCAACAAATTCTCATCCTGCTTCTGCAAGTTGCCGTTCACCTTTTCTCGAGATTGACAGCCATCCCGACCGAACATTTTTGTCAATATAGAGGAATGCCACCACCTGAATACTCAACCTCCTGAAATTCGGGGAAGCAGAAAATGTTCAAAAGCGCCCTAAGGTTACAGCTAGAAAACAGCAAGCGGAAGCCGCCAAGAAAGATAACCATGACACCAATGGAATTAGGGCCAAAATGGAGTGCAAGAGCGAATGACACGTTAAAAAGAAAATGACAATTACCAAAAGGACATGTATGATTTGTGCAATAAACAAGTTTTTGCACGGTTTTATATGAGGAGTTTGTAGCTATCAACAAGCTCCAGACTACCAAGTGCACAAAAGTGTTTGATATGATATGTTTGGGTGTATATGGGCCACAGGTGTGCATGTAGAGAGAAAAAGAAACATAATCTTCCCAACAGGGGACTGAATTTCCTCGTAAACTTTCATCGAAACATTTCCAATACAGTTCTTTGTTACTCATACAGCTTACAAAACTTGCAAGATCTACCTCATCTACTTCCTTGATGTATCTCAAATTATCCTCTCTAACTACCTCCACCTAGCTGCTATGTTGCTAACGGACTCAAAAGCTCACACGGCTGCCTGGTTATTTATTTATCATACGCTGGAGAATTGCTTTAGAAACTTTTGGTGACTAACTTAATCTTATGGACAGCCTATAATATTTTCCCTCCCTACAAGAAGAGGAAGCAAGGGAAAGTTCTCCACTACAAGAAACTTTCTTTCGCAAGGAACCATTTACTAAATCAACTTCAGTATCAAAGAAAGTTTTGGATGAAGCAGCTTAAGTCAATCAATGGTTCCGTGATTTCAACTGCTTAGGGAAAATGTAGTGGTGCTGAAATTTCTAGAACAAATGGGATGGTTCAAAATAAAATGAGAAAATACCACATGCCAGATGTAATTCAGTCGCTAAGGAGGAAGAGTTTTACCTGAGCAGGGGGTAACGATGAAACCCAATCCGATGCATGTGTAGGAAGCAACCCCAAGGTGTTAAGCTGCCAAGGAAAATAAAAAATTTAATAAACTGGATTTCGTCAAGATAATCATAGTGGGGTGAAGAATTTAAAGGATAACAAATGTAGTTCACCTTCCAAACACCCAATGCTAAACCCCCTAAATTAAGGGCAATGAAGAGCAACTTTGGGGCAATAAGATCTACTTTGCCGTCCTTATAGGGCTCAAAAACTGCATAACCACATTAAAATAAGCATGAACCAAACAAGGAAATGGATATAAGCATGAATTAACAGACAAAGATGTACAGCATATGTCATGAAAAAAAAATTGCATAAACATATGAACATGGTAAGAAGTCATAGCAAACCGAAAAATACAATAGACAGCATGAATCATGCCAAACAAGAAAGAAGGGTTTATATGCACCATTAGGCACAAACAATGAATCATACCAAACAAGGTCGTTTTTTAAAATTTGGTTTGTAAATATTGTGCGAGACAAGAAAATGGAACAATACATTAACACCCAAAGGCCATGACTGCTGGTTATCGGAAACCATTCATATGATGAGACAGCAATATAGACAAGCAAGAACAATACAAGATTTCAAGTTCTATATTGCTTTCAATCGTATTCTTCCCCTACAACTGAAAATTCCACACATACAGACGGACTAACAGAATAAGAATCATCTTACCCTTCCCTACACCCTGTAAGGCGCTTATGGGTTGCCAAAGAGCGGAAAATGTGATTCCAATGCTAAACAAATGCACTGTATTCCCAGCCATCCACATCATGAAACCCATCATCATCAAATTCTTGAATGGGGCCTGTGCAACTTCCCAAGCTTTCTGCAGAAACACAAAGAAACCATGAGATCACATAAATTCAAACCATCCGCATTCTCGTGAATATTAACAGGGATCAAGAAAATTCAGCTGAAAAACAGGTACAATTGTAATCCATCAGCAATTTAAACCATGCCCAATTTGCGATCAAGTGATTATTATCAAGTTAAAGGTAAAGGTACAATGTTTCACCCATAAAATGGCCTGAAATCCCAAGTCTAAAAAACCCTAAATCTAATTGCTAAGATAAATTCGAATTTAGGGAGGGGAATCAGTACCTGAGCTTTCCAAGTAGATTCGGCATCCTTCTTCTGGCGACTCACAGTCGAATCATCCTACAGAAAAACAAAAACCCCAAATCCAATCAATTGGGAACAAATCCAATCCAAATCCAAATCCAAATCCAAATCGAACGAAGAGGCAAGATAGAGAGAGAGGGAACCTGTTCGAGGGAGGCGCGAGAGAAGCCAGGGGGGTCGGGGAAGTCGCGGGAAGAAGGGGAGGTTGAGTTGTCAGTCAAGTCAACGGCCCATCTCCGACCTGCTCCCATCACTCCCTTTCCCTTATCCATCGTCGCCGTCCTCTTCTTCTTCTCCGACGCAGTTACAGCAGTAGAGTCGCAGCGCCACTCTTCGATTTGATCCGACTATATAATATTTGAATACGCGCTCAACTCTCAATGCCTCGGGCCGGCACTCTCCAATCTCCGCTGCTTCTTTTAGTTTTTTACTTCTTTTTTTTTTTTTCGGATTAAAAGTAAAGTTGGTGGCGGATTCAATCTTCGATCGATTTTTATTTTGTTAATTAAAAGATAAACTTTGATTTTATTTATTTATGCTAGCCCTTTTAACAGGTCGAAATTTTGTCATATTGTGTAACAGAAGATTTAACGTTCAAGTCTTATGAATTGTAAGTTCAATATTAATCATTATTAGGCTCAAGATGTAATTCTATACAAATTTTTATTTTTAGATTTGTTAAATCAAACAAAATAAAAACCGACAATTTAAATCATTTTTACAAAAACATTTTTTTATTAAGTTCGACACAAAAACTTCTCCCTCATAAATAAGTATTTTGTTGAAGCACTTGCCAAGTGGAACTAGAAGTGCTTTTCCACAAAATAAAAGTGCTTCTCAGAGAAACAAATTCTATAAAGAACAAAACTTAGTTACTGAAATTTCAACAGTCACTCCTACTTACACCCAATCCCGTGTGAACACGTGTCCAAATTTTGATTTTTTTTAATCAAAACTTGGACACGTGTCCACACGGAATTGGTTGTAAGTAGGAATGGCTGCTGAACCAAGTTAATTCCTTTTATAAAATGCTAAAACATAATTCTAACTATAGACACTTGTAATTTTTTCGACCATACAATTGTCAGAAGAATTTCTTTTAATTATCTAAACAGCACTTAAAACATCCCAAGTTTGTTTAGATGATATTTCATTCAAAACTTGCAATTATTAAATTTCAACAAGAAATGAATTACCAAAACTTTGTCAAACTCTGCTGAAATTTGGTTATGAAGCTTCTGTGATGACTACGGGAGGGAAAGAGAGAGAGAGAGAGAGAGAGAGAGATCCATACAAGTTTGTATGTTGTATACAATGTAAGGGGCAGTTGATCTTCCCTTATATCTTTACAAATGTGACAGACGTATTCATTAAACATACAAGCTACAACTTCATAGAGATTGTTATGCATCACTACTGCAACTCTTGCTTGCTCGAGAACTTGTCCGAAACGTTTGCCATCACAAATCCTGCAAAAACCTGAGTTCGAAGAAACGCAGTTAGCGTAATACTTACTGTCACAAAAACCGACTATACAGTTAGGAGCTCCGTCTCAACGCTACTTGATAGGCTTCCCCAACTGACATGAGATTAGATGTTAAAAACTTGAATGTATACGTAGTGTGGCGTACCTGAATGGAACCAATGATGTAGAGTGCAGAAAAATGGCGGCCGTGAATCACCATGTCGGCTACCATTGCAAGTGGAATTGTCAAGGACATGCCCAGCGTTGCAACTAATGGAGATGTCCAAACCACGGAAAGAGCCCTGTCAAAGTTTCATTTCATGTTAAAAGCATTGGGCATCAGCATCTTGTAGCCTCATAGATAGATGAAAAAACAGAAGCAGGAAGTATAGAGAATTCAAGCGTAGATTTGGCCTGCCACACAACATACTCGAACCAACCTCTTACAAGTTTATTTATGAAAAGGCAGTCGTGCACCTCTTGTAGAGATTAGAAAAAGAAAATTTTTTACATGAAAATAAATCAGTTTGTGATCGTTACATGTCCTTGTGGTGCCCAAACGACCCCCAATGTATGTGAAAGCAGTTTTACATACCAAAAATAATCCGAAAGAACACTCCCGACAAAGCCATTTATCAGCACAGCTTCGGCAATACATTTTGAATGTGGAAACTCAAATGAAGGTTCAATCCCGATTGCATTGAGCGGCCACACTGCATGAGAAACCATTGCTGTGAGCCTGTGAGCGATGCAACTCAAAGAGAACCAAATGATATACCCGAGGGCAAGTGCTGTCTTTTCATTGTGAGGCCTCTCCATTTCAAACCACGAAGAGACTTCAATATGTATTCACTTTTCTTTCCAAACTTTCAACAAAAAGCATTGTGTGCAATCAGGTCAGTCGTATTCTAGAGTGAAAATCATAACCAATGGTTGAGATATAGTCCGACTAATATTCTCTCTGTGGCAACAAATGATCTAGCTATCAACTTTTGCCTAAAATCCATGACCGTATGTGGACATAATGTAATTTAACCTCAGGGAAGACGGAGGCGATAAATAGATAATGGAATAATTACTCTACTCACCGAGCCACCACAGACCAAGCAGAGTGAAGAGACCAATGTATCCGAAAAGCTTCGGCACATCAGCCTTATCTCCTTTCTCCTCTGATCCAGCAAATTTCTTGAGTAACACTGCAGGTATAAGACCAGTAACTCAATAATCATAAATCCAAAAATAATTTAACTGTGTCTCAGATATATATTTGTGAAAGAGTTCAAGTACCACCGGATTCCTGAAATGTAATGCCTTACCCGTAAACAATCCATATGACACAGCTGAGAGAAGACCAAAAATATCTCCCATTATAGAGTGCTTTCTAATCCTTTACGCAACAAAGAACAAGATACAGTGAAACGATGGTAAAACATGAAGAAAAGGTAATTCCTACAGGCTAGAAACTTACTCAGATATGCTCAGCAGTTCATCAGGTGCCCAAGTTTTTCCAACTGTGGTCATGGCAACACCAGCCATGGTGACACAAACGGCAACCATCTTTGCAATAGTTATGGAATCCTGATGAAGAAGAGCTCCAAAGAAAAGTGTAAAGAGCCCCGATGAAGAAGTTAGGACAGTTGTACTTGCAACACTGGTATTTGCCAGTGCAGAGTTCGACAGATACTGCATTAGAACAAAGATATACCAATATGTCACTTAGTACTTTTTTAAAGCATAAAACGAATCCATGCATATCAAAAGAACCAAGAGCACCATGCGGATTTCCGTTTCTTTTAACGCAACGTAACTTAAAATGTGAATAGAATTCCAAAAGGTTGATATGAGTAACAGGGGTGCCAAAATGACTCATGTTACCTCTGTGATAAACCACAACGGAGTAAGAAGCAAGCCAAATTTTGCAACTTCGCATGGACTAAGTTGACGACTATGTTCAAGCAAGCGAGGTTCATCTTCTTCACTCTTATCCATTAGAGGTCGCCCTTCTTCCGTGTTACTAAGATCTTTGTCAGTTATTAGGCAGCTTCTAACATCTGTTTGTGGAACGTGGGCATTTCATTTATTCTAAGAGGAATATCAAGCCCGACTGAGGTGCACAGAGCACTGCCATTGCAAAAGTTCTTAACTAAATTTCGGTCCAATAAGTTGCAGAGCCAATCTTTCAAAGCTGATATAGGCAGATAAACCACCATTAGAGACACACCGAGATAAGTGAGCGAAAATGGCTGTTTGTACTTGCTGAAAATTCTCTGCATTATAAAACAGTACAAGTTTAACAACATAGATAAGCTCAAATCACAGCAATAGAAAACACATCATTCCAAATATCTAGTTTAATGAGAGAATACCATGATAATGTAACTACGCCTCCATTTGTTTCGACGAAAATAAGAGAGAAACTAAAACACAATCTTCTCTAACAACAATAAATCCTCAAAGAAACATCACCCCAATAAAAAAGGGAAAGAACACGAGGATGCCATTGTAGCGGTATCTCAATTCAATCACTCAATCACTGCCACTTGGGGAGAGTCAACGCGCACGTGCGTGATCGGCTCAAGATACCATACCGTCCATCTCATTTGTCCCCAAAGAAATACAGAACGGAATAGTGAGGACTAATAAGGCGACATTCTAAACTACTCTAATCAACGGAGCGGAGATTCAAACTCGGTTGCAAGACAGCAGGCACACTGCCTTAACCAAATAATCGAACTTTAAAAAAACAAACAAAGAATCAACTTGGAAAAAGAATGGATGAACCCAAACCTGAGTAACCTCTGCAGAAGCGACCCAGATGAACACAACCGTGCCAATCAACCCCAAACCGGCGTTGTACTTCCAACCCATGATCAAAAACACCACCAAAACCTCAAGATTTTGCAAATTCCACCCAAATTAGGAACCGGGTTAATCTTAAAATCGGCTAAAACATCAACATCTTCTGAAATGCTCCACAAGCAGCAGGACAATCCGATATTGTGAAACTTGCTCGAGGGTTTTGGATTTTTCGTTTCGTTTTGGTACCAAATTTTGGTTCTTTGTGTAAAACCGTGACCACGGAAATTTGAAATCGTAGAAAACAAGAAAGACTATTAACTTTTATTTTTGTGGCGTCAAAGAAAGTGGATTTGCATTCAAGTTTCCAGTTTTCTTGCCGAGCGCTGATCAGCAGTCAGTTCGTGAGAGTGACAGGTGGTGCCGTTTCAACTAAGCTTCCTTCAAGGTGGCAATCTATGAATGCATTCAATGCAATGCTTACTTTATTTAAGACAAATGTTTGTCCGAAAACGTATTATGGTTCCAACGGTTGAAAACGTTTAATTTACATTTAAAATTCTCGGTTTGAACTTATCTTCCTCATATCGGTTAAGTCAAAAGAACAAAAAAATTGTTTAGACTAATTACGCTTTCGGTATAATTTGAATGATATTCTATTTTTGTTCATGCGCAGATAATTTTGATTTTTTTATCGTACTTATAATTTTGTTAAAACTAACTGGTAATAATTTGACATGATATATAATATCGTCCTTTTAAGATTCATGAGTAGTTATACATGTTCATTTCACTTGATTGGTAAAAAATCATGTGAGAAAGATTTAAGATTGTATGTATTACTTAAATAAACAGCATGAGTAAGCAAATTGGAGCATGGATAAACCAAGTCATATAATCCAACATCTTCAAGTTCATCTAGCTCTCCCTTCTTTTATTTGATATCTCTTTTTCTTTTTTTGTTTATTGATACTTCTGATGGGGTGGAGGAATCGAAATCGCCACCTCGGGTGTATGGGGGGATGTTTTTACCAAACTGAGTCGCAAGCTCTTTGTAACTCTCTCTCCGACTCAAGACACTAAAACATAATTCATATGAGTCTGTTTTATCGTAATATATCCCGACTTGATCACCAGGACCAAGTGATCTACGCTCAATAAAATTAAGACGCCAGTGGCCTTCAAACACAGCCAATAAGGTTGGACATTGGGTATCCGTTGGGCCTAATATGACTTCCTTTGACGGTGGCGATAGTGGTGATGGCAATGGCAGGTGACGGGGGTGGGTGAACCCATTGCCCATCCCTAAACACCGGGCGCCTTTCCCTGTAAATGCGAAAATGTAGTATGTGTACGGTATTGGTGTCGACATCCTTTACCCGGATGGGTGTTGAATCTATGTTTACTCTTATGATTTTGTTTCGGTCCCAATACCTAAATATATGCGTCTCGACGTCGTTCATGTCTAAATAGAGGCAACATCCTCCGGCCTCGGCAGCCGTCAGCTCCTTCTTGATCTTCCACTTGCTGTGATACTCTTCTTGCGCCATTGAAGCAATGAAAAGCTATGGGGGATGAGTGAGCAGAAGACTTGTTGTCCAAGGCAACTCCATTTTCTGAAGTATATATAAGAGTTCACGGTCTAATCACAATTACTGCAAATTAATCATATTTAATCTCGATGCACGAGTTCTTAAGAAATTAAGACAATCATGCTGATAGCCTGATAGATTGTATTAAATGTGAAATTATAACAAGGTAATGGCATGGGAAGGGAAGAAGAGCCTAGTTTTGATCAATTAGAGGACTTGTAAACAAAAATGGTTGGGGAAAAATATGGTTAAGTTGTACATAACTGCGGTACAAGGCTTCGTTGTCTAACGAGCTCGTGAAGATCATGAACAATCTTGAACACAGAATCAGGCTTTGCCAACTTCAATGCATTTTCCGACATGGCCTTTAGCTCATTGGCTTTCGGACCAAACCAATCAGCAACGATCCTTGCTATCTTTTTCGGCGATTTAGAGTATTTCCCGCACCCATTTTCAACGACATATGGTACATTCCCAACTTCCTACAATGTGAAGAAACGGTCATTTGCAACATTTTCCAGTGAGGGGATTCTCAAAACAGAGCAGCACAAGGGAAAACAGATTATATCACCATTACCTGTCCGGCAATGTAATCGTTCAGAATAATTGGGAGGCCTCTTATCATGGCTTCTGCAATAGTTCCTGGACCGGCCTATTAAAAAGTAGACAAATTGGTTGGTAACAAAATATACAAGACTCTAATGGCTTTTATGGTTGTTGACAAACTTACCTTTGTAATTATGCAGTCGCAAGCTCCCATGCATTCCTCCATTTTAGTCACAAACCCCTTCACCTATAATTTCAATCAATTTTAGCTACTAACTTCTGTTTATTTAATGCTGTGTTTCGGACTATGCATTCAAAGGGTATAAAAATACCTGGACAGGGATCTTCCAGTTGATTGAAAGCAACTTGTTCGCAAGCTTTTTGTTGCGACCACATATGACAAGGACCTGGCCTACAGGCTCCCCAAGATTCTCGTCATATAATGCATCCCCAAGTGCCCGAGCTGTAGCCTCGATAGGACCCATTCCTTCTCCTCCTCCCATTAGCAACACAGCAGGAAGATCCTCCTCCATTCCTAGTTCTCTCCGAAGTTCAGCCTGCATTGAAATAAACAAAACATGACAAAGGTAGTCAACATTTATTTAAAAGCACCGTCTGCAATCATGGAATGTGCAATCTAAAACCACTGTCTACAAATGCGTTTACCGTAACTTATAGAAGAGTATTATCTATAAATCATCAAAATCCAATTGACAGCTTACAATTACCGATTTCAAATTTCCAATCAACATTCATGAGCCCTTTTATTATCACAACACTTGCTGATTTCTTTTAGTCGTACAACAATTACATCAAGGTTAAAGAGTATGTTGATCAGTAACCAACCTTTGGTCGCACAGGTTTGACAAAGTTAGGCCGCACAGGGAGGCCATAAACCTTGATTTGGGAAGTCTGGAGTCCAGCTTTCAATGCCCTCTTCGCAACCTCAGTTGTTGGACAATAGCATCTCGTTACAAGCTTATGAAACCTGGAAATGAAAACATAAAATATCAAAGGTATGCTTGGAAAGGAGGCTATGTTTCCTAATAGGAGCTCTGTGCAAAACTAACCATGTAGGATGGCAAGTACTTAAATCCGTGACAACTGTGGTAAAAACTATCTTCTTCAATAGACCCTTTCCCCTCAAGACACGAAGTGGTACATGCTGCATCAGCGGATGCACACTGATAATAATATCCGGCTGGTATTTCATCAGTCCTTTGGCAACCTCCCTACAAAACAAAACAGAATTAGAGGATATCAACAAGGCATACTGCCGAAATGCCATCTTTGAGCCATAATTTGACACGGTCATATTTGTGAAAAAAGAGAGAGGTTTGACGGAATATGATAAACTCATGAATAGTAGGAAAAATTTGCTCATTTCTGTATCTGTAATCCTATCTGACGTTTTCCTCACAGGGTTTAAAAATCTGCCAGAACAGCATACAATCTCGTCCTCAAAAATGACATTTCCATCGAAATTTATGAGCTTATAGTGCATAAGATACATGATTAAAAAAGTTGTAAATTCCTGCATGCTATTCTAATCACTAAAACTTATGGTCAACAGCTACTGCAATATATAACCATTCGAAAATTGAAAGGCGTGTTATATGTTAATTTAATATATGGTGGTCAACTATTACATGAAGCAAAAGAATGTACAACTACCTTGGAAAACAGACTACAACAACAACAACAACAAAAACAGTCGAAATGATTATAAATTTACAAGCATTAACCTATAACAAAAACAAAGTCTTACCGAGCTATAAATGTAGAAGTTGCTGCAAAATTAGACTGATGCACCAGACGCGGAGAGGTTCCATAGTATGTCATTTTCCATAGCGGCCCATGTTTCACCAAGAAATTATAGCTCCTGGGAAGTTGATTAAATGGCCAAGGCGTATGATCCGACCATAAGTCAGTAACAAACACCTGCGATATGCACTCTTAATTGAAAACATGATCAACAAATATGCACACTCACACATCCATTTTTGTTTCTCCCCCAAGTATTCTCGTTAATTAATGAAAAGTTATACTTTTCGATCTTATTCCCTATGGTGTTATGCTATTACATTGCTTTTTTCATGTAATTCCCATTTCTCTCTACCTTAGTCAAACAACCAAATACAAGTTTCATAACAAAGTTGAAATTTTTAGCACAATTCAGAATAACTGACCTGATATTCGTCCCCAAACTCCTCATTAAACGCTGCCTTAATCGCCTCCGCAGAAGCGCGGTGGCCGCCGCCGGTGTCACTCATCAAAATCAACACTTTCTTGGGGCTCTCCGCCTCCACACCATTCAACGCAATCCCATTATTGTTAACGCCGCCGCCATCTTCTATCAACACATTGTTATTGTCCCCAACGCCGTTATCCGACCCATTTCCATTTCCGTCCCCAGACCCGACGCGAACAGAAGCGAACCCAATTGGGAATCTGTCACAGTGGAACCGAATAGCCCGATTAAACTCCGTCACAACCCTCCGAATGCCCGAACCGCCGCGACTGCTCAAACTTAGTGAAGCTGAAACACCGACCTTGGGATTCGTCCCGGCACCTGAAGCACCCCCAAAGGCGTCGAAATACAAGAAATTCGACAAAAACGAGGAGTGCCCATCTGAACCGGAGCTGCTGTGAGGCCCAGAGCTGAAGGCGAACCGACCCAATCGGGAAACGAGGTCATAGACCGGGCTGGGTTCCTGGGTTGCGACAGAAGAGTTATACATGGTGGGATTTCTGGGTTGGGGAGATTAAACCATGGCGGACGATCAGCGAATTGGGTTTTGGGTAAAAAGGCTGGAAAATGAAACGCCAGAAGAGAACAAGGTGTGAAAGCTTCGAAGGGAGAGAGAGAGAGGGAAGGGGACGTGGGTGGGTTTTGGAGAGACAGTGAAGTTAGCGAAGTGGAAATCTTCGAGGGGGTTAGCGGCCACACACACAGGATTTTGGTGCGTACAAGACTACAAGTGCATGTGCGCGCGCGAGTGATCGGAGGAGATTCTTGGTATATTAGGCACAAAATTGGTAAGAAGAGAGTGGGTTGTCTTTAACTATATTGGGTTGGGTTGATTAGCTTTATCCCAACTCAAGTTGGTCTATAATCTCTCTATATACTGTTGTAACTTACATGGAGAAAGATTCGAATTGGGTGTAAAGAAACGAGTTCATTGTTTTGACTAATTGGTTTAAGTCATATCTCTACAAAAGACCCTAACAAGGTGTATTGAACCTTCTGCACCGCTTTTCAATCTTGAAGAATGCTATAATCAACTGTCAACACTCAAAATTTCTAATGACATAATTTTTTTTTGTTCTGACAACTTTAACAAGTCACTTGTATCTCTGCCATTGTCTCGTGTTCTCTACGTCCAACAATCCCCACCTGGTAGGCCCAAAAAACATATCAAATAATTATTTTTCTATTGAAGTTTTGTAAGTATACATTGCATTAATCGTCCCAAAATGGGCAATTGACTCTAGCAAATACTCATGCAATTTGATCACAATGCATCAATGATCGTACATGACGACTGATCTTAACACAACTTTATTCTTGTTAGGTCAACAACCCAAAAATGCATGTTGTTACCTTTCAAAAAATTTAATCATAAACGAGAAACTAGTTAAGGTTAGAACATAAAGAATGACCAAAAAAAAAAGTGTTGGCCTCGAGATTAGTCAATAGTCCCTCCACTAATTAGTCAATTATGTTTGTGTTATTTTGTAAATATTAGTTAAGGAGTGAAGGCCAGAACAAATCAATAAACACATTTGCCTACACCATATAAACTTTACATTAATGGTGTGAAATCGTACATGAAAGCTACGGGAGATTAAATTACGTGTGTATTTTGATTGAATTTTGCACATTTTCGTTTTTTTCTTGATAAACGATAGCGTTAATACTTAATTTGTTAATTGTTAAGAAAAGAAAGACTAATGAACATCAAACTCGTATCATGATACATAAACATAATAATTTTCTAACACTGCAATAAAAATGTCATCCGCACATCTTTCAACTTTTGTTAGAGCAAAAAGTAGAAAAAGCACAATCACCATGTGATTTTCGTTCCTATTAAATTTTGGTGTTTGTAAATTGTAAGCAGCCCATGTGATTTATATGCCATTTGACTCGAATGGACGGACCGTCCAGAACCACCGGTCTTTTGGATTTCTGATTCACCGACCAACTTGTGTCCTTGCTGCTGAAATTGGGCTCGTGGTGACCAAAGTTTGGGCCGGAATTTATATAAAAAGAGTTGGGTCGGAAGACAGTTATCAAAGGTAGGTGGGCCCATTCTTGTGAGAGAAAGCCCAAATCCGTAAGCCCTAAACGGCTAAACCACCCCGAAATAGAATGACTTCATATTGGTCTGCAAATTACACGCGTCAAGTAAATTATAGCATCTTTAATTTTAGTGTTTTTCAGTTGACTGAGGGTAATCGAACTTAAGACACGTTGAGCTTGAAAAGTAACACAACCAACAAGTTACAAGGGCACCGGTTGAACTTGAGATATGTTCATCTATTTCATTTGAACTTAGGGCATATGAGATTACGCACACATGGTACGAGTTTTGTTATTGAACCATATGTGCAGATAATACGAAATATTTCTCTAACAAAATCCAAACAATGCAAATGTAGGCACAACCATATTGACTAGAGCAAATGTTATTCTTTCTGCATTCGAGTTTGAATATTCATTCCCGTAATGTATATTTGATTAAAGTATCAAACATCTTTCATGTTGAGAAGAAAATAAAAAGATCCATGCACCCAAAATTGGTCATGACATCACATAATGCACTTTGACATGTCAAGAGGCAACAAATTCTTTTCTCTCACATTGGCAATGATTTTATGGGGGCAAGGCAATGCCTTTTTCTGCAAGGGATTTAGAACTTTTCAATCACAAAAAAGTAGAAGCCGCTACTAGGCCAAGAAGTGCTTATTGCTTTTTGCAGAAAATGCTTTCATCTAATCACACTACTTCTCATCCATCCCACATGATCCAATCCACTAACAAATTTCAAAAGCTTTATTATATCAGAGAATATGTGCAAACCCTAACCACAGAGAATTCAACTCTCTCAATCATGGCTGCATTTTTTCCTCATGTGGCTTGGTTTGAGAATTGCTTGACTTTATGTGTCTTAAAGTAAAAGCTTTTCTATTATATGGAGAGATTAGTTAATTGGGTATTATCTTGAGGATATTTCATATCCGATGAATTTTTTATTAAGGTTTTATATAGTTGATAATTATTTTATTTTCAGTGTTTAATTTGTGACTAATTATCTTCATGATAATTTGAAAATTTGAGATTAATTAGATCCATACTCCACGCACTTTAGAGCATCTCAAAAAGAGATGTAAAAATGTCAAAATCAACACTAATAGTAAAAAAGACAGCAACAATATTTTCTAACCAAAAAGCCAAATCTGATGTGGCATGACATAGATTGACAGCCCTCACTCTTCTGCCAAAATTGACAGCATCTTCAAATATTTTTTTAATTGATTATTAAATACATTTTATTATTGTTTTTTGTTTTAAACATTTATTATAATAGTTTTAGGTAATAAAAACATATCATGTGGAGAGCGAATTTTTAAAGATGTCAAAATGTGACATAAGCTGTCAAATTTAAATTTTATGTTTAAAATTTAGCATCTTCTTTGAAGATGCTCTTATGCACTTTAACTAAGAACAACATGCAATGCAACTCAGCCAAATTACAATAAATTATTAATTTCTTTATTAAGGATAATTAACTAAGGACAAATCACTCTGGATGATCCAAATTCCACAATATTATGCTTCCCCAAAATTCAAAGTGGTAACAATTTTGGTAAGAAATGACATAATTATTTTTAGAGAATTTTAACGAAAAGCTCTCGGTACTGTTTACTTTAACGAAAAATCATATTTTTACACTAAAAAGTCAATCATGGTACTATTCACTTTACCCTTATTTTGTCCTTATCGTTAAAACTCAAAGTTTTCAAATTATTTTCATTAGTTTTCCTTTATTTTTACTGTGCTTTTTGGCATAGGTTTCAAAACTTTGTTCATGGCAACTGTCCCCATATTATCATTTAGTAACCAGTTACTTAATTTATATTTTTCTAAGTAACCAATAGTAATGTACCAACTTAATCCTTGCTTTTCCTTCTTTGCTGGACCATGAAGCTTTAACTTTTAGACATGAAGAAATAAGTGTGATATTGACAATCTCATATCTCCTCCATACGACACGCTTGACTCGCTACCCTCCTGTCGTTCTATTTTCAACCCCGTATTCCATCATGAATCTTATAGTTTTTCTCATTTTTTGTCTTTTATTTTAATTTTACTATTATTATGAGAAGGGAGAGTTCAAAATTATTATATTAAATACGAAAGAGGAAAGTTTCGAATTCGAAACGCATGGATAGAAATCTAACGCCCTATTTACTACGTTATTAACCAACATGCATATTTTTGTTTCTTTTACACTAATAACACGCTTACTTACTTAAAATGCATTTTAAATTGTTACAATTGTTTTTTGTACGTTTGTTAATATATATATGTATTTTTTTTTATACAGTTATATTATTTACATTGAGCGAGTGAGACAATAAATTAGTTGTGAACTCACTAATCTCGAGATTTAAATCTAATATCTCTTACTTAAAAGTATTCTAATTTTTAACTTCTCTTGCATTAAATGACAATTACACAATAAACACAGTTCGTAATTTAATACTTGGTAAGTCATGAAGTAAATTGATTAGGAGATCTAGTAGTCGATGTTCTTTAATGTCCGTGACTTCAAGAATTCATATAGCTTTCCTCGTTTTAAATAAGTAAACATGTCACGTATACGACTTCTATTAAGTAGTTCCATGAAGCTTAGTTATAGGGTGCGGAAGAAAATGTAGTGCCAATCATTTTAGACAGGCTTATGATGGATTCATTGACTAATGAGCAAAAGAAACGACCTAATTTCAAAAAGAGAGGATAATGATTCATTGACCACTTGGTTTATGACTTGTGAGGGAGAATCAAATCGTCAACAACAAAGTTCATCTCTTGGAAAAATGCATGTGAAAGGAACGCAGAAGCGTCCGAAACCAATCCAATGGCAAAAACGTACAAGAATTAAAGACTGGGAGAAGTGGAGAAATTGGTAGAAAGCAGTGAACAGACAAGGATGTGAAAAATCCCAATCATTTTAGACCTTGATTTCAGTGATGTACTTACTACTTAGACTCAAACAAAATTCAACGATTAAGAATACAAATTATACCACACTACATGTTCTTGTCCAATTCCGCGTCCAACTTTTCTTTGTACGTAAGTTTGAATACCTTAGATATTTTTAATGCTCGTTTGGGAAGTACTTTTAAATAAATGAAAAAACATTTTGATTTTGAAATCAGTCATTAGTAAAAATGCAAGTTAATTCTGAAGAATTAAACACTTTTATTTTGGGACCCAAAAATATTTTCTCTAAAAATGGTTTCAATCAGCTACTTAATATTACGGTCTAGTGGTATTCCGATTTACTTGTAAGTGAGAGGTCTTAGGTTTGATTTTTGTCAAATGCGAATTTGAACCATATTATTGCTAGCCCATTGTGAGGCTCAGCCTACTCTCTCATCCACTTAGCATAGATAATATAATTTGTTAAAAAAAAAAAACGTTTTCAATCATTTAAAAGCACTTTTCAAACGAGCTCTTAAAAAATTGAGTGTTTAATATCGTTTTTATATAGTCATTTAGTACTACGATTTAGTGATATTTCTCTTCACTTGTAAGTGAAAGATTTTAGGTTCGATTCTTGCTAAAAGCAAATTTGAACCATATTATTTCTAACTCATTGTGAGGACAAACTCGCCTTCCATCCGCTTATATAATATCGTTTTATATAAAAGAAAATAAATAATCTTTTTAACTAGGAAATGATATTCACACACCCCAAATGACTTCTTCCACACCTTTTTAATTTTTTAATATTTTTCTATCAAGTGTTAGTGGTGTGTAGAAAATATTAAAAAATTAAAAGAGTGTGGGAGAAGTAATTTGAGGTGTGTGAATATAATCTCTCTTTTAACTATACAGAGTTAATTATTTTGTCTTTTTAGCATTTTTTTCAACTCAAAATTCATTTGCTTTTACCTTAATAAGACCAATTGTAGCAAAATTAAAGCAACCAGAAATAATGATTGGACGGGTGTGGCCTGAATCTGTCGACAAGTCCACCAAAGACTTGTTCGTGTGAACTGAAGAAACCATGCATTGATCGTTTTCGTACCGGAAATCTACCAGAAAAGCCTACTGCGGGAAAAGATAGCCGCCGTTGAGTATCCCATTCCCAGGCTTCGGACGGCCATGATTACTAAAGCTCGAAGTTTTGCTAAGATAAGTGGCAATGATTCGGGTTGGATTTCGTTTTTCCAAACTATTAACAAAATAAAATGGGTCTGCATCATTAGAATTTCCTTACAGATTATTTGATTGACCAGTTTATAATATTTTTCATTGCACCGGTTTCGTAGTAGGTAACGATTGAAACAAAACAGAACGATAAAGCATAAATTGCATGTTGCAAGCAAAATCTGATAGTTTATTATTTAGTGTTATAAATTTGTCAGATTTGTATGAATTTACTTTTTCTTATGATAGCTGTTGTAAGATGAGAAAATTGAATACTTTTTTTTAATTATAAATATTGTAAGATGAGAAAATTGAATACAAAACTTCAACGAACGAAAATAAATCATCAACCACTCTTGGCAATTACCACACAAGTTTTCTATAAACAGTGGCAGCAATGAGTGACAAGATAGTGGTCTTACACAGCACATTCGTATTCCATACTTGACATATTTTAAAAGTCTCGATTCAATGGCGGCTTAATTTGCTAAAATATTTGTTTATGGTAATAAAAGATGTGATCTAATAAATATCCTGCCGTAAATGAAATGATAAGGGAAATAATATTCATTTTTATTTTCGGCTTATGTACACTTTTGTTTATTTTTAATATTTACACTAAAAATGCAAATGATCTTTTACCACAATAGTGGAAATGAGTTGTTTTTTTGTATTTGGGAGTTGGTTTGAACCCTATTGATTCTTTAATCTAACAACTAATCACTAATGTTATCGTCTTATCAAAAACAAATATTTACACTAAAAATAGAATTTTAAGACAAAAATTAATATTTTCTCAAAAATTAAAAAGAAGAACAAAAATTAATGTGTGTGTGAAAAAAAAAATATGACAAACATAAATTATTTCCCGATAATGTATTAATAATTAATAACTCAGTCCAAAAACGTCGATATATAATTTGCAGTTTCAGTTGATCAACTCAGTCATGACAGTCACAGCTTTTAAATCCAAAAATTCCATACAAACAGAAAAGTCTCACACACATATATAATTATATACTGGTATTACAGAAATCTAAAAAATCTATCAGAAAAAAGAAAATACATTATATTTTGGTCGACAGAAATTTGATATGTAATTTAAATTATTTAATATTTAGGAGGACCGCAGAGACTCGTGATTAAGATGACTGGGTGAACTCAGTGGAAACAGAGTCAGCAGCTCGGGCGGCTCGGCCCCTCTGGGCGTACTGAGCGGCGAAGGGTGCAAATAAAAACCCTTCTCCGCAATTGCCTTGTCCTCCTCCGCCACCGCCGCGGGAGACGACGGCGACTCGGACCCTGAACTCGGGAATGAAAACGAGTCGAACCCGAGTGGTGTGATTGGACTCGGAATCGGCTGAGAGCCGTGAAGGGTGGCGAGGCTGAGCTTGATCTCCAGCTTTCTCATGGTATGTCTCCGCTCTTGGAGCTTGAACGGTGACCGGCGGGGGCTTGTTAGGTCACCGGGAGTGGTGGGTGCTTTAGGGTAGTGCCTTGCTGGGTGGGTGACCGGGAGCTTTTCCGAGTTGCCGGATAAGCCGGTGAGCTTCTGAACGAGGTCTCTGAAATTGTTTGTGTCTGCCTGAACGAAGGTTGTGGGTGACGATGTTGGTGAACAGAGGTTGCTGTTGCCTTGTAGTGAGTGATGATGTCTTTCCATTTTTAGAGTGAGAGAGAGAGACAGAGATTTACTAAACTAAAGTTATGTAATTCATGCTTTATGCTTTTGTTGGGAGTTTGGGAGAGACGGAACGTATGTGTGATATGAATGACAGAATGAGAGACTAGTGTTGAAAAAGCATGATCTTTTATAATGGTGACTTTGGGTGAATGTTGTTATGGAGAAATTTTTCATTCTAACTGGAACACGGGTGGTACATTACGTGTTTTTATATAAGTGGTGAAAATTTTATTTTGTAAGTTAAATTTTTTGACACACATATCTCACTATTTGTATAATAACACATGTTGTATAATCTCGTATTCCGATCATATTGAAAAATCTTTTATTGTTATGGGCATATATACGTATTTTAAAAATGAAAAATGATTTATGCACGCTCGTTTTCTTACGCCTTTTTGTTTTATTTTTGTTATTAATCTTCTTTGACATTCAGTTTAAATATCAAAAATGAAAAATGAGTGTTCAAAACGAAAAAAATGTGTACATAACTCATTTCATGAAAAAAATGGTTAAAAACTATAAATTTTATTATTTATATCATCTTAATTAACAGTATTTTACTTATGTTAGAAAGATAACAAATCAAGTCATCATCTATAGAAGAACTTGTATGCAACGTGTTTTTAATTAGTCATCTAATTCTTACTTATCTGAAGCATAATTTGTTGCGTGAGAAAGAATCAAGAGGCTTTCTAGAAAGAAAGAAAAAAAAAAGACTCGAGCTTTTTGCAAAAATGATACAGGATTCACTGGATGAGTACGTCTTGGGTGTGGTGTAAATTTAGGTTACTAATTAATTAACTAAATAATGGGCTTTGCCTGAATTTCCTTTATGTTCAGACCGCTGGTTTGGAATATTCAATCAAACACACACAGGAAAGATAAAGGAAATAAATTATAAAAGGGGGGAGGAAAATAGACACAGTAGATTTAGACTTACACATCAAACCTTATCTCTTGCTAGGATTTTGTTTCAAAGTCTCGAGAATTATTCACCACCGTTTGCACCCTAAAAATATATCATATAGCTTTACAATGATTGCCTCGTTCGATAATACTTTTAAAATAACCGAAAATGCTTTTTAAAGTGTTTTGAGTTCCAAAAATACTTGAAGTATTTTCTGTAAGAAGTACCAATTATGTGTTAAGAAATAACTTTAAGTATTTTTTTCATAATTTAGTTGTATTTTTACTAAAAATTGGTTCAAAATCAATCTCATCAAGAACGTTTTCAATTATTTTAAAAGTACTTCCAATGGAGATTGGAGTCTTTGCAATTTCAATTGGTGGGAAGATATATATAACATTTGAGGACTTTAGCATCTATGTCACTCCCCGCACATAAACAATTTATTGGTACTTCTCCATCTTATTTTTCATTTGTCAATAAGAGAGAGATTCAAATACCTCTAGTTATAAATTAAGCATTTCATCCCACACTCACATTGGGGTTAGGCGAGTTTACAGGATGTGTCCACTTGAATTCAACTCTTTTTACATGTTAAAATAAATTAGAATATCGCCTTATTCATAACAAATATCTTATTCTCGTTAATAAACAGCGAAGCTTTGTTATTCGTTTATCATTCTTTACATAAAAGTGAGTGAGTGCATGGAGCCATGTCTATAATCTTACGAGTGACAGATGCATATATACTTAATGACACTCCAAAGTCCAACTATATGTTCTTCTAGCTAATTGCCTCCTTTGTTTAATTAAATGTGGTACAAATTATTGTTTTTTTATTAATATTGTACCTAGACACTCACCCTCCCAACTCGTTCTTCCCCTTTTTGTGACATCTCTTTTTTGTGCGCAGTGATGGATATGCTTCAATCCATTAGACGCAATTTGTGTCGTTTAAAATTTTAAATTAAGCCGCCGGCAGACACAATTAGTAAGCTCTGATTCTAATTTCTAAATTGTATTGAGCATTTTATTTGATTAGACAAAAAGGCACACGAACCGTATTCTGTCTCAACGTACGCATGAATGGTTTAGTAAAAACTGTTAGAAAAATTAGGGTCTACTTGCTATATTAAATCACATATAAAATCAAGAAATAATTCATGCGATTATATATCACAATAATGCATGCACATGAGTAACCCATGTTAAATGAACATGACATAATGGATTAGAAAAACCTAGAAAATATGGTCGAGGCAAGTGTTGGACACTTTGTCATTAAGACAAGTTTACGCCCCACTACGGTGCTCATGGTTGATCGGCGCATATCTTCCAAGATACAACAACCACGTCCTTGTAATAGTAGCACTCCAAATCACAAGGCTCCATGAACCACGATTGTGTTAAAAACTCTTTCATATGGACTTAATGAGACTCTCTAATATTTCATGCACTATAGGTATGATTACGTAAAACAATGAAAAGTTCTCTTAGTGATTATAGGGGCTTCCCTATTTATAGAATGTGAGACATCTCTTTGGAAAGTATGTGACTATTCATGAATAGTCAAAAGTTGCAAGACATATCTCTCCACCAAAAGGCTCAACTTCTAATTTCCATTCAATTAATAAATTTAATATAATAATAATATTATTAAAATTTCCAACAAAAACTATATTTTTAGTGTTGAATTTTCGTACTCTTATGCTGTAAAGTTGACCTTGTGAAATTCGATATAATTAGCATAAAAGAGTTTTGCTATTAATGATTTGGCTCGTTTGAGTTTATCATGCAATTTGGGTCTTGTCTTTTTTGAGCAAGTTCTTTCTTGTTGTAGATATAACTAGAATCTCGTGCCTCGTGATATTCTAATGTAATCTTTTTTTTTTTTTTGGGCTTGATACCTTGTTGTCAACCAGAAAAACAAATATTTAAGTATAATAACCATTAGAAAGGAAAAGTTTGGGATTAATAATGAAACTATAGACATAATATTTGAAAAAATAAAGAACAAGTTAGAGCATATCCGAAAAAGATTTCAAATGTGCCAAGTAGACATTCAACGGTAAAAAAAAGCAACAAAACTTTCTCCAACCAATGCTTCATTTCTCATGTGGAATAGCCTCTTGGCTCTTGCTGCCTAATTTGACGTTGCTGTTAAATTAAGCTTTTGAGTTTTAATAGATGAGCTCTCATTCAATATTAAAATTAGGTTTTGCTGTAAGAATATGAGTGGCTATCAGTTTTCAATATAACGTCTACATAAACCATCAAATTTAAATGTTATATTTAAAATTTAACATCTCCTTTGCAATGCTCTTAGTAAGCTAAGTTTATGACAAATTTAAATGTTGTGTTTAAAATTTAAATGTTGTATTAAGGAAATATAAAGTCTGGCACTAGAAAACGTAAATTTGATTCCGACCCATTCTAAAGCCGCTTGCAAAGTCCACAGACCAATTAAAAAAAGTGGGCTATCCTTGTTTTCCATCTCAAAAATGACGGAAGGTTTTGGTCAGCTTTGGGCCACAAGAAAACCATTAAAAAAAACCGCCACGCAAACCAAGAAAAAAGAAGCAAACAGACTCTCTCTCTCTCTCTCTCTAGATTCCAGACTTGAAGAAGACGAGGAGGAAAATGGCGAGCTGTGTGTGCTGCAGGCCGTCGATTGTGGCCAGACCGATTCAAAACGACGGCTTTCCAACGTCGTTGGGAGCTCTAAATCGCGTTGGGGTTGTCGTACCTTACGGTACAAGCACGAGGTCCTTCAGAAGGGTTTGCGGCGTGCGAGCTTCCGCTGTGGACTCGTATGAAAGTTCATCGAATTTCGCTAATCGCATGGAAAAAGCTTGGTTAATCTCTAAGGTAATTCCTATCAACTGAGTTAATCTCTGAGGTAATTCGTATTAAATGACTCTGTCTTCGGTAAATTGGGTCTGGTTTTATTTAGAAATGATATTTAATGAGATTGAATTCGATAATTAGGTCTGACCAAAACCCTAATGGAGTGAAAATTTCATGATTGAATCTTGATGAAACGTACCTTATGCATTTTTCCGTTTGTTTTGTCGCTCGATTCTCATTTGATTTACTCAATCCAACGACTAGGAAAAAAGAGGGAGAAAAAGCGAGTGCGGAAATCATTTCAGATGAAATTTAGCTGTGCTTGGTGTAATAGAAGGATAGAACATGGATATAATTTGGTTTAGTTTAGGTGCTACGAGAACAGCATTCAAAATCACCCACACAAATCTATTGGTTGTTGTCTAAATCCTCCATGTTTTTGGTACTTGCAGCAACCGAGGCCTATTGCTTGTTCTTCTTGCAACTCGAATGGTACATACTGAGTGCAAATGGTGTGCCGGTACAGGCTTCTTTATTCTCGGTGATAACATGCTTTGCCAAGTCTCTCCGAAAAGTACAACTTGCGTTATTTGTACCGGAAAGGTAAGTCATCTCGCCACAGTCAGTGATTCTTACTACCGTCTTCAATTTCCGATATGCATTTGTATTTTCTGCTATAAATAGTACATGACAAAAACCTGTCTCCTGTTTCTCCAGGGTTCAATGCGTTGTTCCGACTGTAAAGGAACGGGCTTTCGTGCCAAGTGGTTAGGTCAGCCACCTATTTCCAAGTAGTCGCCTACTCTCCGTAAGCTTCAACCCTCGGAGCGACTACACAAATTGTAGTAACATCTTAATCATGTAGTAACAGTTCTTCGTTTCTCAAGTTTTGAAAGTTGCTTATTCTTTAAATTGTGTAGTTAAATTAGCCCACAGAGCATCACCCTTAACTAGTTTGCCTCATTCATCTTAGTTTTTGGAATGTAAAACTATCGTTGCCTCGACTGGTTCTGTTATCAAATTGATTTATTGTTAGAAATATTGATATGAAGTTTTGCACGCCATCGTTGATTCTGTGTATAATACTGATTTACTGTTGCAGTATCAGGGTATCCAATACAATGCATATTCATATTCAAACCGAACGTATTCAGATATACACATGAACATCACTGAACAAGACCAGTTGCCTTAGACTATAGCCGAAAAGAGCAACTGATTGATATCCTCCGAATCCGAATCGCAATTCTCATCCCCTGCACA